GGCACAGATAATAAAAGTGGGCTGGTGTTTGGGGAAGACAGAAAACCTGTGGGCTGCTGGGAGCTCTGGTGGTTCAGGTAGGCTGTGTCCTGCCAGGCCAAGCGATCTTGGGAGGAAACCGTGTAAGGTGGGCTTGTCTTGGCTGGTGGTGGTTCTCATCCTGGCCACATCTCACCTCCTTGCCCCTCGTTCATGCCCTGTGACAGTGGCGGAGGCTCCGTTGAGTGACTTCACGTTTCACTGTTGCTCAATAGGGAAATGGTGGTGCATTCAGCCCATTGAAGAAGAAGACGAAGCTGAGGGTGGAGAACGACTTTGTGAAGTTTGACACCCCCTCTCTGCCAAAGCCTGTGTTCTTCAGGAAAGCGAAAAGCACGGCCTCCCCCTCCTGTCTGAGTCCCACCGTCCAGGTACGTCTGGGCTCGGTGGTGTGTGCAGAATGTCGATGACATCATGACTGCTGTTCTCTGGACTGCAGCTTGTGAACCAGCAGAGCAAGTGGGCTGGGTTTGGGGTCTAAATCTCACCAAACGAACTGGTAGAAAATGATATCGAGCCGTTACATATATGTGAAAATATAATAAATAGGGATGCTGTTTTATAAATAAAGTCAGACTCGAGGTGATATGGATAGAATGTTTTCAGTAAAATACCGGCCGTTCTGTGCCTACACTTCATGATATTTTCACTAGGACAGTGTTGCATTCTGCAGCTAAGCCAATCATTTAGAATTTTGAAGGGAGCCTATGTTTAAACCTTGGTTTCTGTGGAAGGTGGTTTTACTTCTCCTTGTGCCCTCCCAAGGCACGCCTCGCATGGGTCCGAGCGAGCAGGCCCTAGTTCTGGGCCTGACCTTCACTGGTGCTTACTGTCCCACTGCCCTCTTGGCAGGCTCCGTGACCTCGGAGCCCTGAGCAGGAAGGGGGCCCCTGGGCCAGGTCACTGCTGTTGTAGAAAGCCCAGGCTGGCTTTGGGCCCCCATTCTCAGCCATGCTGTCAGGTTAAGATTCTTTCTGGGAGGATAGTGGTACAGATTCCTAGGTGGCCAGGTGTTCCCCTCTGTGGGAGGAGATTCTCTCTCCTGGGGAAAAAGCAGACAAGGGAAGACCAAGGAGACCGGGTGGGCAGCAGAGCAATAGAAGGGGCAGAGTGCCTTCCAGACCAGGGAGGGCATCCTGACCGCTGCTATTGGACGATCTGATGAGGTGCAGGCTGGTGGTGTCTCTGGGACCCAAGGTACGACAAGGGCAGCCTCCAGAGCGGGGTGGGCCCAGGCCAGATGCGGAAGCCCAAGACCATTGGGAAATGGTGAGAAGAGCTATTGAGCAGCAGGGCACTGGCGGGCGAACAGGCCTGTGTTAGTGATTACACAGGAGCCCTTTCAGGGACACATGTCAGCTGACTGGGGCCTTACAGAGGCCAGGTTCCTGTCACAGTGCCAGGGCAGAGATGGTAGACACCGAACTAGAGGACTTACACGGGAACGTTGGCCACGCCCCCACTCACTGGGAGCTGCTCCGATAGGAAAGAATTTTTTTTTTTTAATCATTTTATTGGGAGCTCATACAACTCTTATAATCCATCCATCGTGTCAACCACATTTGTAAATTTGTTGCCATCATCCTCAAAACATTTGCTTTCTACTTGAACCCTTAATATCAGCTCCTCATTTTTCCCCTCTCTGCTACCCCCTCCCTCATGAACCCTTGATAATTTATAAATTATTATTTTTTCATATCTTACACTGTCTGCCGTCTCTCTTCACCCACTTTTCTGTTATCCGTCCCCCAGGCAGAGGTTATATGTAGATCCTATGATTGGTTCCCCCTTTCTACTCCACCCTCCTTCCACCCTCTCGGTATTGCCACTCTCAGCACTGGTCCTGAAGTATCATCTGTCCTGGTTCCCTGTGTTTCCAGTTCCTATCTGTACCAGTGTACATCCTCTGGTCTAGCCAGATTTGTAAGGTAGAATTGGGATCATGATAGT